CTACTCAGAACATCATATATTTTAAGAAGGTACTTGGTTGATACCTAGGACACTGGCAGCAACCCGTATCAACCATTAGCACCAGTCAATGGTATTTGTGACCCATTTTTAAATGTCCAGTTGACTGAGTTTCATTTTTAATGAATAAAAGAGAATCATCATCATTATCATCTCACAAGAGTCTTTATGCACAATAAGGCCAATTGTAGCAGCTTCCTCTTATGACAGTTATCAAAAATAGCTTGAGCAAGATATCCAAACATGTCTAGCTATCCTGTTTGCTTCAAACATAACTCCTCGCACATTTTTTTGTGGATTGCATTTGTTAAAATTGATCTTTTTTTAAAAAAAAAAATAGTCTAATTAGTCAAATTGCAATTTTCCTAATTCCCAATGTGTTTTTAGGCAGAGGGGCCCCAAAGAAAGGATGCTGTACTTTTATCCATTTGAAAGTTCATGTAAGTAAATTGATAGCTGCACAATAGTTGTGAACCCAATTCAATCTCTAGGTCAGGGATGGACACAAGATAGATCTGGACCAAACAATTTCATAGGAGACCACAATAGTTTTTTGAAACTGATTCTGCCTGTGTGGCTACAAGCTAGACAGATTTGTCTCTATTAGTGGAAAGGTGCTATAATGGTTAAATACCGGACTGGGACTGAGAAAATACAGGTGGACAGTTAAAAGAACTGGACCAGTGTAGCTTGGACAAGAGAAGATTGAAGGTATATAATGATCTTCTGTATTCAGATATAAAACGGGTTGTCATACAGAGGAGGAATTCGGCTTGTTCTCTGTTGCCCCCAAGGGAGAGAACTAGGACAGTAGGAACTACAGAGTATACTCATCAATAGAAGAGAATATTTGTAGCTCAGGATTAAACTGTGAGGCCCTTGCAGCTCTCTGAGCTTGGTTGTTTTTTGAAGCTGCTTCACTACCCAAGTAGGTAATATCATCAGTGCCCTCGTTGGGTAATTAAACGTCTGCAAGAAAATAACCAAGTTCAGAGACCACCAAGGACCTCAGTTTAGATATTAGGAGAAATAAGTTTAGATATTCAGTTTAGATATTAGGAGAAATTTACTAATGGTAAAATTTGTCAACCAGTGGAATAGATTTCAGTAGGGTAGGGTAGGGAAGGGAAGGGGAGGGGAGGGTAAGGAAGGGGAGGGGAGGATAAGGTAGGGAAGGGGAGGGGAGGGGAGGGTAAGGTAGGATAGGGAAGGATAAGGTAGGGGAGGGGAGGGGAGCGAAGGGGGGAGCGAAGGGAGGAAAGGGGAGGGGGAGGGGAGGGGAAGGGGAGGGAATGGTAAGGTAGGGTAGGGTAGGGTAGGGTAGGGAAGGGAAGGGAAGGGAAGGGAAGGGAAGGGAGGGAAGGGAAGGGAATGGTAAGGTAGGGAAGGGAAGGGAAGGGAAGGGAAGGGAAGGGAAGGGAAGGGAAGAGAAGAGAAGGGTAAGTTAGGGAAGGGAAGGGAAGGGAAGGGAGGGGAGGGGAGGGGAGGGAAGGGAAGGGAAGGGAAGGGAAGGGAAGGGAAGGGAAGGGAAGGGAAGGGAAGGGGAGGGAAGGGAAGGGAAGGGGAGGGAAGGGTATGTCCCCATCTCTGGAGGTGTTGAAACAGAGACTGAATAATCACCCATCTATCTAAAATGCTTTAGTAGACCTTGCATCAAGCAGGGGATGGGCATGTTTACCCTTCCAATAAGAAAGATCCAATAGGTAAAATAGGACCTCTGTGGTACTCTCCAGCTCTATGATTGTGTGATACTACCCTGGAATCAATGACTCTCTGAGTGAGCTGATGGTACACCAACAACATTTGGAATATGGCAAGGCTTTTGCTCCAGAATAAAGAAAACAAATCTACCAGTAACCATTTCTCATTGACTTCTCATTAAAAGGATCTTGGTTCAAAGGTCTATGGAGATTCCAGGTCATGGTTGTCCCAAAGGTGCCTCTCAAAAGGCAACTGGACTGTTGAAAAACACTTTTGGGACATCCTTGTTCAAAGAGTTAGAAGAGTTGGATAATGTGATGAAAGAGGTCATTTCATTGTGAATCTAAAACCAGTCTCTCAACAGCAGAATTTCTAGCCAGATGGGCTCCCGTAATATTTCCAAGTTCATATATTTGCTTTATTATTCTGTGGTCGGGTGATTGTCTTGTGGAAACATTTTTTTTTTCTACACATTGTGGAATCGTGCTTGAATGAAACACTCACTGGGGTTGTCATTCCTGAACTGCAAGTGGCTATCGAAACTTGCTTATCTCACAAGAGCACTTGCAGAACTTTAAGTCAGCTGATACTTCCAGGCAACGTTCCGCTTGGGCCTCATAGAGAACATGATAATTTGGAAAGGTGAACTGAAATTGTGGCAGAGGGAAACCAAAAGCTAACACGAGATCCCTTCTTTCTGCCAGAATTCCCCAGCTAGCATACAAGGCATTCTCCGTGCGACTGCCCTTGAAGACTACATAGAAGCTACCACTCATCTACAATGTGGCAGTGTGAATAATTATGGGCATAAATTGTACACCCATGGAACACATCTATGCAAGCTAGTAGCTGTTGGGTGCAGTCCATGGTGCTAGTTTTTATCTTTAAAGACCCGTAGGGTATACTGTAGATTAGAACATGGATTGCCTGTCTCCCAGGGGTGAAATCCAGCAGGTTCTGACAGGTTCTGAAAAACCGGTAGCGGAAATTTTGAGTAGTTTGGAGAACTGCCAAATCCCACCTCTGGCTGGCCCCAGAGTGGGGTGGGAATGGGGATTTTGCAATATCCTTCCCCCAGGAGTGGGGAAAAAATGGGGATTTTGCAGTATCCTTCCCCCAGGAGTGGGGAGGGAATGGGGATTTTGCAATATCTTTCCCCCAGGAATGGGGGAGGAAATGGGGATTTTGCAGTATCCTTCCCCCAGGAGTGGGGAGGGAATGGGGATTTTGCAATATCCTTCCCCCAGGTGTGAAGGAGGAAATGGGGATTTTGCATTATCCTTCCCCCAGGAGTGGGGAGGGAATGGGGATTTTGCAATATCCTTCCCCCAGGAGTGGGGACGGAATGGGGATTTTGCAATATCCTTCCCCCAGGAGTAGGGAGGGAATGGGGATTTTGTAAAATCCTTCCCCCTGGAGCGGGGTGGGAATGGAAATTTTGCAATATCCTTCCCTCAGGAGTGGGATGGGAATGGAGATTTTGCAGTATCCTTCCCCTGCCACGCCCACCAAGCCTCGCCCACCAAACAGGTAATAAAAAAATTTGAATTTCACCACTGCTGTCTCCCATTATGCTTACCCTTCCAGTAAGATCCAATAGGGTCCAGAAATGTCCCTTCCCTATCAATGCACCTGTTTCAACAGCAACATTCCCTCAAAATCTGCAGAGAGCCAGGCTTGTCTGCCTTCGAGAAAGCTCTGAGATCTGGCCCTGTCCAGGGGTATTTATCCACCATGTTGGATAACCTATAGATTGCACATTTTGAATCAGCTGCTTTTCTTTTCTCCCCTGGAATTCTTTCTTCAATTTTTCTATTGTTGGAAGTGTTCTATTGTTTTCACCTTTCCTTTCCTTCTTCTCCCTTTTCCTTCTCTCTCTCTCTCCTCCCCTTTCCTTTCCCTTTCTTTCTTTCTCTTTTCTCACTCTCCCTCTTCTTTGCCTGTCTTTTTTCTTTCTGTCTTTTTTCCTCTATTTCTGACTCTTTCCTTCCTTTCCTTTCCTCCTTCCTTTCTTTCTTTCCTTCTCTCTCTTCTCTCTGCCCCTTTCCTTTCCCTTTCTCTCTCTCTCTTTTTTTTCACCCTCTTCCCTCTTTTTTGCCTGTCTTTTTTCTTTCTGTCTTTTTTCCTCTATTTCTGACTCTTTCCTTCCTTTCCTTTCCTTTCCTCCTTCCTTCCTCCTTTCTTTCTTTCCTTCTCTCTCTTCTCTCTGCCCCTTTCCTTTCCCTTTCTTTCTCTCTCTTTTTTCACCCTCTTTCCCTCTTTTTGCCTGTCTTTTTTCTCTTTTTTCCTCTATTTCTGACTCTTTCCTTCCTTTCCTTTCCTTTCCTCCCTCCTTCCTCCTTTCTTTCTTTCCTTGTCTCTCTTCTCTCTGCCCCCTTCCTTTCCCTTTCTTTCTCTCTCTCTTTTTTCACCCTCTTTCCCTCTTTTTTGCCTGTCTTTTTTCTCTTTTTTCCTCTATTTCTGACTCTTTCCTTCCTTTCCTTTCCTCCCTCCTTCCTCCTTTCTTTCTTTCCTTGTCTCTCTTCTCTCTGCCCCCTTCCTTTCCCTTTCTTTCTCTCTCTCTTTTTTCACCCTCTTTCCCTCTTTTTTGCCTGTCTTTTTTCTCTTTTTTCCTCTATTTCTGACTCTTTCCTTCCTTTCCTCCCTCCTTCCTCCTTTCCTTTCCTCCCTCCTCCCTCCTTTCTTTCTTTCCTTGTCTCTCTTCTCTCTGCCCCTTTCCTTTCCCTTTCTTTCTCTCTCTCTTTTTTCACCCTCTTTCCCTCTTTTTTGCCTGTCTTTTTTCTTTTTCTCTTTTTTCCTCTATTTCTGACTCTTTCCTTCCTTTCCTTTCCTCCCTCCTTCCTCCTTTCTTTCTTTCCTTGTCTCTCTTCTCTCTGCCCCTTTCCTTTCCCTTTCTTTCCCTCTCTCTTTTTTCACCCTCTTTCCCTCTTTTTTGCCTGTCTTTTTTCTCTTTTTCTCTTTTTTCCTCTATTTCTTCCTCTTCCTTTCCTTTCCTTTCCTTTCCTTCCTTCCTTCTTTCTTTCCTTTCTTTCTCTCCTCTTCTTCTTTCAGTCTTTCTTTTCCATCCTCTCTCCCTCTTTCTCCCTCTCCCTCTCTCTGCCTTTCTCTCTCTCCCCCTCTCCCCCCATCCCATTTCTGACTCACTCTTGCCGTGTGACTCTTCTGTCTCTAAGAATCGCACCCGTAGCTGAAGGAGGGCATTTACTCTGGGACCCACCCAGTCCGGCCAATTCGAGCACGGGAAGGTGGAGCGTATCACGTGGATATATAGATAGGATGGGGGGAGCGGGAGGGGTGGAGATTCTTCAGGCACTCGAAGCTGTTGGCCGGGCTGGAGTAACATCGCTACCCTTCCATCCGTCAGTACATCAACTTCACGATGGGGAAGCTGCTTGGACTCTGCGCTGTGGTGCTCGCTTGTATCACCATTGGTAAGAGGGACAATTCATCGCGGTGCAGAGTTTGCCTATGAAGATCTCATCTCCAGTCCTTATCCTTCACTTCTTTTTTTTTCTCCTTCTTTTCTCATCCTTCTATTACTTTGTTTGATATCTCTCTCTCCCTCTCTCTCTCTCTCTCCCTCTCTCCCTCCCTCTCTCTCTCCCCCTCTCCCTCTCTCTCTCTCCCCCTCTCCCTCTCTCTCTCTCTCCCCCTCTCCCTCTCTCCCCCTCTCCCTCTCTCTCTCTCTCTCCCCCTCTCCCTCCCTCTCTCTCTCTCTCTCTTACAGTCAAAACAAGAAGATCAGGTTTACTAGCAGATCCGTAAGGCATGCACAAAATGAGCCTCTATATAGAAGAATAGAATAGAATAGAATAGAATAGAATAGAATAGAATAGAATAGAATAGAATAGAATAGAATAGAATAGAATAGAATGGATCTTGGAGGTCTTCTAGTCCAACCCCTTGCTTAGGCAGGAAACTCTATTACCATTTCAGACAAATGGTTGTCCAATCTCTTCTTAAAAACTTCCAGTGCTGGAGCATTTACAACTTCTGGAGGCAAGTAGTTCCACTGATTCATTGTTCTCACCGTCAGGAAATTTCTCCTTAGTTCTAGGTTGCTTCTCTCCTTAATTAGTTTCCTCCCATTGCTTCTTGTTCTGCCCTCAGAATATAGTGATTTTCTCAAAAACAGGGATGGGAGGCATCTCTCAAGATGGGTTTCAGCCAGCTTCTCTCTTTTTTTTTTTTCTTCCACACCTTAAGTTTACACTACCTCCGTTCCTGGGGTTGGTCTTAAAAGGATAATATGCCTTTAGATTAATTGCTTACACTTTTCTTAATATATATATTTGGTAAGAAACTTCTGTAGCACTGTATAATTTTTCTTTGCCCGCTGTGTTATAACATACTGTATATTTTGAGAGATTCCCTTCCGTGCATACTTCTTATAGAGTTGCAAACTGCATTGCAAATTCAATAAAGCCTGAATCCTGGTTTTGGGGGGGGGGATTCAGTATATATAAGGAAGTGAGAATATCATTGTTTCACACTAAATTGATGTAGTGTTTGGTGACAATCCTAAATAGCAACAATTATTGTTGTGCAACAGATTCATTGTTCTTTTTTTACAAAAAACATGTGAAATTGGAAACAGAACTCCGCCGAAATGTGTTTTCTCCTAGCTATGAAATGTTCAAAAGTCAATGAAAGACTTAATTTAGATTTTTTTTTTTAAAGGACCAACTTAAATCCATCAAGGGGGGAAAAAATGTTTTGAGAACTTCCTCCCAGAACCCAAGACAGCAAATCAACTTTATAGCAAATGACCTGCAGCTTAAAAATAGAACTGTGTGTTTGGGTGATCTAGTTGCAAAACCTCACACAGCCCTAAATTCAGACAGGATGTTTTACTTGCCTCTCCCTACGGTGTTTGGTAAATGCTGGTTTTGCCTGATGTGGAAATACTTTCTTTAAATTGATCGGAGAGGAGAGCCCGAGTAACAGTTTCGTAACTTAACCATGTCCCAAGAAAGTTTCCGTGGCTGCAGGCTAACAATATCATAAAGAAACAAGTGAGATAATTAAATAAACCTGTTTGTTCTGGGAAAGGATTTGCATCCAGAGCTTTCTTTGGCTGTAGCAACTGAAGAAGGAAAGCACCAGTGAAGAAAAGTTGGAGCCATCAAATTTGTTTGGGTGTGGAACTGTATTTCCTTACATCCACCAAACAAAAGCGGGGAATATACATGTTATTTTTGGGGAACTCCAGTCTATGTAATATATCATTGGGCTGTGGTCCATTCGGCATGATTAATGTAGGCAAGAGGGTCTCTAGCAAATATCTTCTCCAGCTTTCCTGTGGATATGGGTGTGGTCACTCAACCAGCCTTGGAGCTCCATGTGCTATTCTTTTGAAGCAACTAACTGTACCCTACTTGTAAACAACATTCTTCTTACATAAGAAGCCTTATGATCAGGGTTTGGTTTGGCTTAAAAGCAGTCCTGTGTCTTTTTGCCTCCTAACCCCAGCCATTCCTACCAAAAACTCAGAATTCCCCCAAATCCTTTGTCTTAATTATTCGGCTCAGGGTGGGGGTGGATCTGGAGCCATTGTTTTCCAAAATGTCCTAGACATAATTTGACACACCCAAGCCCCCAAATCAAGAGAGGCTACTTAAGGCAAATAGTTTTCTTCAGTCTGAAATGCATCCTGGATTTTACTATCAGCAGTTTTGTGGGGGAAGGTATAAATTTTAATCTATATACGCAGGTGTTTTCTTGGAAAGGATTATGCTTGAGGTGGAATCCTGAAAGTTCACGATACAACCAAAATGTTAATTCATCCAAAAGGAATGTTCTTTTTTTTTTTTATGGTACTACATTGTGCATGAAAGCGAAGCCTCGTGAAATCTTTTGGGTTTTGTGGGGTCCGAAGCAGAGTTGGGTTTCAGCAGGTTCTGACCAGTTCTGGAGAACCGGTAGCGGAAATTTTGAGTAGTTCAGAGAACCGGTAAATGCCACTTTTGACTGGCCCCGCCCCCATCTATTCTCTGCCTCAGGAGTCCCAGCTGATCGGGAGGAAATGGGGATTTTGCAGTAACCTTCCCCTGGAGTTGGGTGGGAATGGAGATTTTATAGTATCTTTCCCTTGGAGTGGGGTGGGAATGGAGATTTTACAGTATCCTTCCCCTGCCACGCCCACCAAGCCATGCCACACCCACCAAGCCATGCCCCACCTACAGAACCAGTACTAAAAAAAATTTGAATTCCACCACTGGCGAACATTAAAAAAGGTTGGCAGAAGTGGGATTGGTCCTCCTACCAACTTATCACAAAAATATTGAAACTACTATTAACTCAGTGGTTAAAGACCCTGAGTTGTCAGCTGGAAAACCGATAGCCTGTGTTCAAGACCCAAGTGCTGCATGAGGGGGTGAGCTCCCATTATTTGCCCCAGTTCCTGCTAACCTAGCAGTTCAAAAGCATGAAAATGTAAGTAGATAAATAGGTACCACCCAGGGGTGGGTTCTAAATTTTTCTACTACCGGTTCTGTGGGCATGGCTTATTTTGTGGGCGTGGCTTGATGGTCATGTGACAATTATTTAGGATTTAGCAGAGGTTCTGGTCTACCAGGCTTTTAACTGCTTGCAGAGCTGTACCGATCTACCCATTTATTTTTGCAGGCACTGATCTACTCATTTGTTTGCTTTTAACACTGATCAGTGTAGGGCGGCCCTTTGAAGCCCCGCGGCAAGAGTTTAAACAGTTTTTTTTCTCTCTAGCCATCAGCTGGGACTCAGGAGGCAGCAATAGTTTGGGGGTGGGGCCAAATAAAAGGTAAGAATAACGTGGGGGTGGGGGGGTGGGGGGGCGGGGGGCCAGAACCGGTTCAGTGATGTCATATCATCACCGCTACCGGCTCGGTGGAACCGGCCGAACCAGGAGGAATCCACCACTGGTACCACCTCAGAGGAAGGTAACAGTATTCCATGCACCTCAGGTTCATGGTGGCCATGTAGCCTCAGGAATGTCTTTGGACAATGGCAGCTTCCTTGGCTAAGAATCAGAGATAGGCATCACTCTCTGGAATTGTTCACAGCTGGACAGAGGAAACATTTATCTTTGTTAAATCGAAGGAAACTATTAAATTAACAGATTAACAGAAGTTAGAAGGGACCTTGTAGGTCATCTAGTCCAACCCCCCCCCCCACACACACACCATTTCTGACAGATGGCAGTCCAGTCTCTTCTTGAAAGCTTCCAGGAATGAAGTTCCCACAACTTCTGAAGGCAAAGCTGTTCCATTGGTTGATTGCTCTCGTTGTCAGAAAATTTCTCCTTATTTCCAGGTTGAATCTCTCCTTGTTCAGTTTCCATCCATTATTCCTTGTCTGGCCTTCAGGTGCTCTGGAAAATAGCTTGACCCCCTCTTCTTATGTGGCAGCTCCTCAAATATTGGAAGACTGCTATCATGTCTCCCCTTATAAAACAATTTCTACTGGTCTACCAGAACAGAACATTCAAGGTCGATATTTGAGAGGTCACATAACTAATGAAAGTCAAAGAAGGGGGGGGGATTCTAGTGGTTAGGGCACCAGGTTAGAAACTGTGAGACCATGAGTTCTAGGCCTGTCTTAGGCATGAAAGCTGGCTGGGTGAGTTTGGGCCAGTGACTCTCTCTCAGTCCACAATATCAGTCAGATTTAGGGGGACAAACCAATCGATCAATTCCTGTTGTAAGGAAGCATGCCGATCTCAGCACTTGCCAGAATTTCAGTGGCCCAAATACTAACCTTCAGGTTGAACTCAATGAAAACCTGAAATTAGATCTTGGATATCCCAACCAGAAATGTTCTCATCACTCATTTTTTACTGCCCGGCAATCTAAATCAAGATCAAATGTTCATCTAATGCAGGGGCGTCAAACTTGATTTCATTGAGGGCCACATCAGGGTTGTGTTTGACCTCTGAGGGCGTGGCCGGGGGTTGGGCATAGCCGGGGGTTGGGTGTGGCCGGGGGTTGGGCATGGCCATGGTGGGCATGATACGGGACTCGTGTCAGGGGCATCTGTTGTAAGGCAGGACTTTCCTGAGACACTCCCTCATTCTCATAATCTTCCTTCCTTCCTTCCTTCCTTCCTTCCTTCCTCCCTCCCTCCCTCCCTCCCTCCCTCCCTCCCTTCTTTCCTTTCCTTATTTTTCCTTCCTTCTCCTCTTTCCTTATTTTTCCTTCCTTGCTCTCTTCCCAGCTTCCCATCTTTTTCTTTGTCTTTCCGCTTTCCCTTTCTTCTTTCCTGTCTCTTCTTGTATGCTCAGATGCAAAAGGGGAAACATTTCCCCTTTTGTTGTTTTTAGTTTGTTTTGATAGCCCTCTGCCAGTGAAAACAAAACTCAGGAGGGACGTGCATGGCCTCCTGCACCCTCTTTTCGGTCTGGACCAGGGGTGAAATCCAGCAGGTTCTGACAGGTTCTGGACAACCGGTAGCA